GAAGAGACTTTGATAACTTGATGAAAGTTGCCAGCAAGTGAGTGACGTCATATACTAATACCACGTGATGGAAGACAGAGAAGAGACTTTGATAACTTGATGAAAGTTGCCAGCAAGTGACGTCATATGCTAATACCACGTGATGGAAGACAGAGAAAAGACTTTGATAACTTGATGAAAGTTGCCAACAAGTGAGTGACGTTATATGCTAATACCACGTGATGGAAGACAGAGGAAAGACTTTGATAACTTGATGAAAGTTGCCAGCAAGTGAGTGACGTCATGTTAATACCACGTGATGGAAGACAGGGTCGCCAGCAATATGTGCATCGAACAGAATCTGAGACTGGATCTGAGAGGAAATGACATCAAGGTTTGTTGAAACTTCAGGGAATACAAGATGAAACGTAAGTTTGTTGTTTTGTATTGATATTAATAAACAAATTGATGTTGCGCTAGGCGGATCTTTGTTTACAATATTTCGTTCATTAGCTTTTAACTTTAAGAAGTTTAAATTCATTGAAATTGCAATCTACTTCTAACATAAGAGTATTTATTAATGATTCGAATCTACAAAGGTTTTAGCTCTTTTCATGCAATGAGCGTTCAATGACTTTCAAAGTACTAGGGAAAAGGAAACAAGAAACTATTGCGTGATCGATTGATGAACCGTTCATCAGTTAGAAAAATTTCTAGTTATGATTACGCGATTCAAGGGCGTACAGCTGATGTTAAATGACAATAACGAATACAGAGGGGGGCTGGCTATCGCTTTAATGTCACCTAGGTGACTTACAATGCATTGTGGGATTTCTTTCTGGAGAAAACATAAGAAGTCTGCCATGTTTTGTCCCAAACATATCCTACAATGCATTGCGCATGCGAAAGCTGGCGAATTCTGCTGTGCGTGGGAATTTGACTTCCTCTCCGTTTCACTTCGCCCCAATCCCCTTCGAGAGGGCCTGATACTCAGTGACTGATTTGTTAGAGTTTTTGTGTCCAGCGGTCTTGGAATATACATAAGAAGACTTTAATTCATGTGGGATAAGACAATTTATTTGCAATTGTAGGAAAAATGCAGTTAGCAGATATTTTAAAATAATACTTATTTTTCTGTTGTAATTTAAATTTCTTTTCGATATTTAAGAGATTTCCATCAGTCATCAGTCATCAGTCATAGTTACAACTCCAAAAAGCGTTCTTACATGTAATCTGTAACAATCGAGTTGTTTTCTCTGTCAACAAATTCATACCATGCAACTGATATTTCTACATTCGGCTTGATCTATTCATTAATAAACGTGTAAAGTAGAACAAAATTCCATTTTACCATAGTTTGTAGAGGGAAATGGTTATGAAGCCTTTTGTTGTAGGTTTTTGAGCACTTTTTTCCAAGCGTGAACGTGCACAATCTTTTGTTTGACTATTGTTTTAGCCAATACTGGTTACATCTGAATGAACAGAGCGAAAATTATTCTTCTGACATTTTCTTCAAAATGCACAAATCAATATTGAAATATTTCATTTCATAATCTCATAGAGGGTGTTTATGTTTAGTCATTTTGTAATTCCCATCGTCCGTAAGAACAAAGCTGTGCACGGTCTTGACCGATTCAACCTCAAAATACATACAAAAGATGTACAAAACCGTACCCAAGCCCCTTTCTCGCTCAGATAGTTTTGTGTCAAGTAGAAGGCAATTATATATTCCTAGTGTTGAAGTCTAATTAGCATAGACACAGTAGATGTTTTGTTCAAATTCGTCTCAATTAACTCGACCAATAGAATTACATTCTATTATTCAACATCGAGTGCYATCACAATAGCTGTGTTATTTTATTGAAGTAATTTTTCACCAAATTGCTGTCCGAGTCCAACACAGTGACTGACGTTGTGTAGTTTAAACGCTTTTTCTTCAAACATTGCGGTATTGTCCGTTGGRACTGAACGACAAGATGTGAAGTTCTCCTGCTGGACAGTTCTTGACTGAAGTGATAGCAGGCAGCRAAAGTTTCACACAGAGACGCCAGGAAGTTTAACTCATAAACGAACGACTTTAGTGGTGAGTTATTTAATAAGTTTGCTGGTTTTCTGAATGATAAACTGTAACTTGTGTTTTTTTTTTCTTGGATCGCCTTGGTATTTACTTGGAAGTGTCGTTGCAGTTTCACCTGCCAAAACACTTTGAGAACAAACCGTGTTTTGACAGCGAGGAAACAATGATCGATTCTAAACCTCGAGTCTCATTCTGAGTACGAAAACTGYTTTCTATTTAGAAATAATAAAAAGATTAACAACTTCAATGGCTTAATAGCCAAGTGAATGGGTTTTGCATGGGAATTATTTATTGGTAGCATGGTGAYRGCCGTTTCTTTCATTTATTAGTTTATCAGCTATGATTTAATTCAAACAGACAAACAGAAAACACTGTAAAAGTCAATTGGATTAAAAATTCTGAAGAACCGGCATGAATAGTGACTGTCGCCTACAAAGTATGCATTAATATCACTGAAATAAGGATTTATTGAGTTCAAATACAGTAGTATCTAAGGGAATGAGGTGATAAGAGTATTAACGATTTCGTGAGTATTTTCTAGAATACATTGAAGTTATTTTGCCTCAGGCAGTCGCTCTTCGTCCACGGGAACGTTTATTATCATAAAACGCTTGACAAACCAGAAAGAATAAGTCTCGACTTATTGCAAAGTTGCTAATTTATCATTTCTAAGATATCTCCAGCAGTTATTTATTTATATTTTGTTATGGTACGTGAATGTAGTCTTAGTCTGCTGTAAGTAATATAGAATTTACGTATGCAAAACTCCATTATATATTGAACGTTTTGACTCTCGAAAACTTTCAGTGGCGCAAMTTTTCACATCGTTTCGACAATATACACTTTCACAGTTATGCAGAAGTTGTCCTTCATGGATGGTTATCATCTCGTGCCACTATCTTTTAGCGCGTATATACTCAGATTCAAAAAAATGAACTCCAAACATTGATTCCATAACAAACAACTATAAATAGYTCTCAAACTTTGGCATCAAAAATTTCAAAAATCATTTTTGTATTCTATGAATTGAAAACCAAGCATACAAATCTAGAGAAAAGCACACCCTTCCTTGTTTGCTCGTTTGAAAAAGTGTCTCGTGATCAATAAAAAAATATATCGAACCGGCCAGTTCTATGAAGAAATTATCAAACTTAGAAGTTCGTAAGAACTTGAGCTGACCACGGTTAAAAATAGTCTTAGTAGTTATTTAAGAAGAAATGACGTATATGATGGTACGTATGACACGGTTAATTTTGACTAAAAAAAATCCCACGTAGTTTAACTTCACTTTTCTCATTTTGACTGTTGAGGATTTTTATAACAATACCAAACATACGAAAATCGACCATCCATCTATGGTTCGTTTTTATCCTTAAAATGTAAACTTGGTCACGTCGTAAATATGCGTGAAACACATTGTGGATGATATATTGTCGGGTACGTCAATTCTGCAATCATGCAGAAACCAAAGCAGTATCTAGTGTCTAGCTTTCTCTACTGAATTCTGGGCATTACAGCTARCTATCTTCAAGTAAGCTAACGGGTTGGTGGAACTTGGCTACGATATTCCAAGCTATTATTTCTTGTAAGTTTACAATAGGTCGAAGAGCGACTGCGGGTTTTCTTACCCCACGGTTATTTCAGTCCTTTTCACTTCATTGTTTTGAATTGAATTTTGAAGTGACTTTAGAAGTAACTGTATTATTAATCCTATGAAACTATTGATTTGAACCTAGTTTGTAAACTTTGACATTAGTTTTGCTTTCCAGAATTACTGTGTTTTTTTTCTAAAGTATTTAAATAGAGGATATTATTACATGGGCGCGCGGWGGTACGAATTTTATCTTCATGTGTTGAAGAGATTTTMAAAATGGAGAAGATAAAATTCGTATCTCCAAGYGACCATGTAATATCCTATTTATCATGTAATTACATATGGAAGCARTGTATGTCGTTTTTACTTACTTCCACTATATAGAGAAACCTCGAATGTGTTATTTTCAGTAGTTTTAGTAGTGAAAATAACAACTTTACGAAATGGAGAAATATAGTATTTCATAGATAATTATATGATAAAAATGTTTATTTAACTCGGCATTTTGTAAATCACGGCTAATTTTTTTCTCATTTTCACGACTCACGGCTAATTTTTCAGCCGTTTCACGGCTATTTTTTCTCATTTTTACGATTCACGGCAAAATTTTTTAGACGTTTCACGGCTCACGGTTAACCCCATTGAGACCCTCAGATTAGAGTATAGCAATTTAGTTAAGATTTCAATTTCGATTTTTTTCTCTTTTTTCATTTTCAATTATCAATAATTTCCATCAATTGATGGATGGTTTGGTTTTCTCTTTACAACTGTGAAGAAAATAAAAAAGGCTAAGATTGTAGAAATACAGATCGAGGGTCTATATAATGTTGTACTTGGTTCGTATTATATCGATCTTCGTGTGTGATATAATAATGATTAATTACCTGTCAATCACAGCCAGTATTGCCGACAGTAGAATCACCATCAGTAAAGTGCCCGCTAATTTGCTTTCAGTAAAACAATGGCAAAAYAATAATAAATATTGGATTATTCATTGAAGAGTCGTAATATAATAGACCTGGGAAAATACACATTAGTGTTAAATAAGGACATGGATTATTGGAAAAACATGCTTATAACAGCCTTATTGACTTAAACTTTAAAGAATGTATATCGTAAGATATTTCTTAWTTTTTATTCTTGCCTTTTGACAGAACAATGGCTAAGATTGAGGAAGAAACATGGTTTATAGGCGTAATGGCTGGTATAGGCGCCGTTATATTGATACTTATCATCATYATCATCGTACTTTGCTGTTTGTGGWTAAGAAAGTAAGTACTATGGTATGTCTGTCTTGAAGAAAGTTGACTATAAATTGTATTTTCTGAGTTAAAGGCATTTGGAAATTAAAAATGCAAATCAAGTGACGTCATCCCGCGAGGGTTATTTTTCAAGCCGATTAAATTCTGTCTGACGAGTGTGTCAACACGAAACTCTGAGTCATAGAGAATCATGCGTGTTTCCTTGTAGTTCAATATAACTAACTATGAATTTGTGAAACTATATCAGTACTCGAGACTGATCTAGATCTCTTGAGATAACTGATATATTGGCATATTTTATAATCTGAAATATCCTACAATACCTGGCCAATTGATGGTCTGGTTTGGCCAGGTAGGCCGTYCAGAAACAAGCATGAATAGTGAAAATAACCACTCAAACAAAAAATATATATAAATTATTTTGGTTGTTCTTTAAGTGTAAAGAAAGAAGAAGAACGAATCGAAAAAAACAATAATAAGGACGAAGAAGCGACTACTGACAATCAAAACTGGACTCTTGTGCAGCCTGGAGACGTATATTCACCGCCATCTTCCAGCAATACATCACGTGTCATTCGAGGTAATGAAGCTAATGTTGCTGGATCATCGCTGATTCACATGAACAAGGCAATGAGAGCCAATGCTGTGGGAACACAAACCACTTACACCCAAACAACATTTGAAAATACGTAAGTTAGTTTAATTATGTTGCAGAATTGTATGTCTTTCKGTCTCMTGGTTTTTAAAAGTAACGTATGTKGGGATTCAACGCAACATTGCTATTTTTAGGTTTACSAATGCACAGAATGGAGGCCTTGGTAATRGTACAGCGGTTGGTAATGGTRCARTGGTCCATTCATCGTCTCATAGGTTGAGTCGGTCTGAGTCCCGAGGTTCTTATCAAAAACCACGCATCACGAACGTGGCGGTGTCGTCGATGAAAGGAAATGGAACTGCTTACAGCTACAATTCCCAAGTAGCTTCACCATATTCATACCGAATTCCCACCGAAGATTACGAAAACCCTGGGGTTGTGATGTATTCCGCATCGGAGAATTCCGACCGAAAAATTTCCAGTGGAAGCGAGAAAGGAAAGGTCAAAGAAATGGCGACTAGTTATGAAAGGCGCGAAAACATTACCACACCAGCTTCTCCGTCACGACAGGAGGTCGAGCTTGAGATCAGAGAGCTAAAGGAGAGCGGATCAACAGCCCCTGTCAAAAAAAGACTTTCAAACTCATCAGTGTCAGGCGTCACACCGCAGAAGAGAGTATCAAGCTACATAAATGAAAATTTCGATGAAAACGACGAAATCAGCAACCACCATCAACATGCCGCTTGGCAAGTTACGAGTGGMAAATCAACCATCGAGACTAGAGTCAAWCGATATAAAAAAGTTGGCGCAGTGTCAGTCTTTCCTGACTGAATGAATAATRAATGATAAAAAACGAGAAATAGTTAAGGCCATGGAGGACTTGTTAATCGTTCTAAATATTTATATATTTTTTCATTAAAAATGACAGTATTTCATTCACCCTTGACGGCGACGGACGTTCGGTCTTAGTCCAAAAATATCTCATTTTGGAGAAAACTATAATGCTAACATCTGTGTAGGTTACCATTAACGACCATTAACTGTTTCCGTGGTCACGTGATGTTCGGTGAGGTGCATTGTGGGATTGACGAGCATTCTTGAAAACGTTGATTTCGCAAAGAAATTTCATGACCTTCATTAGGASACTTTCCCAATACCATGATGCACTTTGCACTATGAAAGGAAAAGACTATTTGTGGCATAGCTTTAGGGTGTAAAACACTGTCAATGATGGCATTACTGCTTTCKATAATGACTRGTGATATTACCAGTTAATTGAATAAATAAGCTAATAAAACGAACTTTTAGAAATATTTTTTCACTATTGGCTTCTTTCCATCATTTACGATAGATAGTCCTTCCTCGAACTGCCTTCTCGGTCCAATTAGTTTCTAACGGCAACTATCACAGTACTGAGGCCGTCGCTTTAAAACACATTGCAAATTTTGTTGTTTTTTTGAATAAAAAACAACAACACTAATAACATTAGAGCGGATAAGGTCTCTGACATTGTCCTGTGATAGCTTCCCTTGGAATGAATGTTTCTCAACAGTTTATAATGCCCCTCGAACTGTTCTCTCCCGGTTGACTGGTTCCGCGGGGAACTATCTACTATCATTGTTACAATGGAAACACTCTTTTAAAAATCCTGTTATATAGTCTACTGTAACTACAGAATGTATTTGTCAAGTATGAAGGGAGTTTTTATTGGATGACAGGGATCTGCTGGGGCACAATATAATAATATAGTCACAAGATATAAAGGGTTAAGGGCACAAAATAATAGTATAGTCACAAGCTATAAAAGGGTTAAGGCGTCAGAATTAGGGTCTTTGGCTCCATTTGTGATCACGTTGCATCCATAGGCAAGATCTTTTAATCTCTTAGTGAATGGTCCTCTCTCAGAAAGGATGTAAAGCTGGTATTCTCGTTTCTCTACAATTTACATTAGCAGAACACACACCACTATTCGACTAAGAGTAGAACACGGAGTTCCCAGTGGTGTGGCCAGGACTCACTCTAACACCTCTGTCTTTTGGTTGGCAGTAATTGTCCAACGCTATTGCGGGTGCCGAAAGGCGGGCAAAACAGAAGAAATATGATATGGTTCTCATATATTGCGACCCGTAGCCTTCCCACCAGATTCGCGTCTATTAAAGCACACAAGAGGTTCAGTAGGATAGCAAAGAACATCACAAGGTACGCAATCAGTGCTATGAACACTAGTATAAGCCAAAGAATTATTATGTATTTCATATTTTAGGATRCCTATGCAGTCAGTAATCAAGAAAGGCCCAAGGAACTCGGACCAAGGTTCGTACACATTGTATTTTATCAATTATCAATGTACTTTGCTAGTTAGAATTTACTAATTATAATGAGCTTTCATGGAATGTATTGTTGTTTGTTTGTTTTGCTTTTGCTTTTGTTTTTGTTTTTTGTTTTTGTTTTTTTTTGGGGGGGGGAGGTTGTTTGTTTTTATTCAAATCATGGGCAGGGATATGATCTGATATCCAAGTAGCAGACCGTAACTTATTAGAGCGCACGCTAGCCCATATTCATTGGTTGGGGATTTAACATATCCTGCACACTGAACATCGTTTGATAAAATCACTAGTGGTTTTATTTAACGTTATTTGTATAGAATAATTATGTTTTAAAGTTCTCTGTATTGTAATGTACGTAGGTGAGGGGACGTACGGGGAAATGGCTCGAGAAGCYAACAAAATAAATACAAATACAAATAAATAGTTCAGAGAAAAGAGAAATGACCTACAAAAAGTCAAAATACAATTGAAAATAACCTGCAAGCAATTATCAAACCAAATGAGCCGACCARCATAATGAAATAGGGGTAATAAGAATTCGTCCCAGCTTATAAGGACGTCCCGTCGAGAGAGGTGGACCCAGGTTACAGGTAAAAATCACGGTACCAAAACTAACTCCATTCAWATTAACGGTTAATGAAATGGTTTTGGTACGCATCTGTTGTTAGGTTAACAATAGTCAAATAAAACACGTATTACATAAACAAAGTCTGAAATCAAAGACACATCGCATGGCATAAAAAGACATACATTAACAATACTAACCACCCACCACTAGTAAACACTCCAATACACCTAAACACTTAATAGGATAACACAATAAAAACTTAGATTGATATTTTTAGCGAAGAATATATTAGAAATGTTCCATGGTTAATAACTATAATCCCCACTAATGTCGTGCAAGAGAGCAATGTTGTAAGTGTAATTCAGAATGCTATTTTATCGTGTGAAAAGTGAGAGGTTTTACAATCCATTTACTGTCGAATAGCCGGGGGCTTGCGGTGCATTGCATTAAGATATAAATTAATCCCCTACATTAGATTCCATTTTTTGTAGATAATGTAAGCCAAAACTATCAATTAAGAAAAGCATAAAGATTAAAGGTTTATGGAGTAATGCTTTTTATTTACTAAAACTAAAGAACTCCTTTCAAAATACGATAGATACAGCGCGCGTTTTAAATGATCGTGGTTTGGCAAACTGGCAATTTAGACTTAAAAGCGATTTTAGTTCACGTATGCGTTTAATGAAAATATTTTTCAGTCGTTTTGTAGAGTGAAGTTATAAACTCGTGAAATAAAACTTGACTATTAAAGTGTGATAGACAGAAAACGATGCAATTAGAGCGTGTAGTAGTGTAGTTTTTTGACTTCACTGTATTACCGTACTGGTCAATTATTAAGCATTTTATTGTATGGCATCATTCTGGCTAGCGATGGCTTTTAAGGGAGCGCCGGGCAGTAGGTCTACAATTACCGCCAAAAAYAGGTTGACACCATTTAACCGCGYCTTCAAATTCCCTGCCTTTGCGTCCTCTCAATCCGCCTTCCACAGCTCAATGTTCACTCCAACATTGTATAGGGGAAGGGAGTTTGAAGATTTGCAGGGGAATTAATTGAAAACGGCGTGCTATGACGCTAAAAAAATAAGAACTATGACGCTAAAAAAATAAGAACAGGGTGTCAAGGTTCTTCCCGTTTATTGCGGAAGAGGGGATAACAGCGATACGCGCGTTTCTGAATACGGATCACAAAGAAAACGTGACTATTTACGTTTTGTCATCAATAAGACAGGATCATGTCCACCAGTGGTGTGTTAGGGGAGGAATGTCCCATAGCAAGACGAAATCATTCAAATGTTGAACGAGTAAACATGCTAATTAGGTCAGAAAGAAGCTAGTGGTTTATCATTCTTAGTGACAGAATTCTCATTAAATGGTGTTTACTTGTTATTTTTTTGATTATAAAATTCATTATCGATTGCTCAGCACTTGGTGCGAACGAGGAGAGCATCCCTCTATRCAAAGAAGGCTTTAAAGCACTTTCATTTTTTAATCATTTTGAAAACAATTTCTACACACACAAAAACTGAAAGCCGCTTTACTGATAAMTATAAGCAACCAGCATGATGTTACAATGATACGAATTGTAATTKTCCTAAGAACACGCACAGAGGTCTTCAATTAAGAGAGAAAAGGGTGTTTAATTATTGCTAGTTTTACCGGTATTAATTAATATGTGGCACCGCCGACGACCAARTAATGAATTGAACCATTTCACTTACAATTTAAAGAAGAAATGAAAAACTCGGGCAGAATATTTCAAGGAACATTTCAATTCCTGGTTTCATATTATTAGCTTTCTGTCGTCAATTCGATATAACTGACGTAAATTCTTGTCATGTTCTGAGGAATTTCACTCTAATTGCTCCCCTCACCTATCCAACCATCACCRTAATATGGCAATTGTAAAAAAATGTTAACAAAACTAAATGAAAACAAAAAGCAAAATACCACACGGGAAGCCCAAACTTGAATATTAACTAAAATTTTATTAATTTGAAAAATAAGAATATRAATTTGGTGTTAGCTTGTTGGTATTTCGTTGATGCTGTGCTAGCGCTCGTTTTTGGTTTCCTTAATTAGCTGAATTGATCCTTAGGCACTTTTCCCATTTACTAGAATTTGTGGTTACATCCGGTTCAATTATTAAAAAGCTATTTGCAAAGTGGGACCTCTGTCTAATCAATACCATACGCAGCACTCACTTTAATACACTTTCATTAGGCTTATGGTAATCTGCTAAAACTCATCGATACCATTTACTCACCGGCGAAAGTTTCGCTTTCATCAAGCTCGTATAACAGATAGACTAGGGATTGCCTCACTATACAACTCATGGCTTTGGAAATCACGCTAGAAGTACTTGACGAGTTCACTGTGTGTTTCTAATTTACTGAACAGTAAGGAGCTGGATTGGTTCTATAAATTTAGAATCATAACTGTGAAATTGGTACTCGTTCTAGGGTTTTGTTGAAGACACATTTCCACGACTTGTAAACTGTCAACCGTAGCAAGAATATTTACATCACAGYGATACCAAAACCCTTCATCTGGATTTTCTTGTGTGAAAACAAGCCTSAAAAACGGTAGGTAGATGTTCTTGTATTTGTTTTCTGTCATCTGTCATATTTTAATTCCAAAGTGGATGTTCAATTTCCATAATTACAATCCCTTCAGATAATAGTTTTCATTAGGCTGACATCATGTTCACTGTAAATATACGTACTACTTTTACGACTAGAATGAAATGATGAAGTATCCGTTTCTACTCGATTTATCACTTTCAAAACCTGTTTTCACTAAAGCCTTAGTTGGAGGGATTTTTTTATCTTGTATTCAAAGCCACAATTTCCTATATTGCCACCAGAAAGCTCCGAAGACGTCTCACTGCTAGTATAATTACTTCACGGTCGATATCGTTTCATTAATTAACATGAACTTTGATTATTTCACATGGAATATCTACCGTGGTAGAAGACAAAATCTCATGATGTATGTGTAATARCGGGCAAGRYCTTCGTTAGGGAAAACCCCTGAATTGTTTTTAGACAGTTTTCAACGCRTYGCTTTCTCTCGTCACTCGAATGGCATCTTATCAGACTTTAGATTGTAAGACATAGTTTTTTATGGGTTTTCACAGCATGTTATACATTTGTTTCCAATAGAAAATATTAGGTTTACTGGYCGGCGAACAGTTGGAGATACGACTCATTAGCAAGCACACAAAGAACCGCACTCTTCAGTTTTGTACAACTCTTTAATTTACGTTCCTGAAAACACTTTTGAACGAATTTAATCGGCGCCTCCATCGTTKTGACCGGTAATTAAGAATTCTCGGTAATCTGACGCCAAAAGGTTTTAYTTTCATCGAATGAATGTTTATCAGTAGTTTATGTTATTGTCTAATGTTGCTCTCTGTCCATCAGACATCGATCATTTATTGATTGTACCTAATAATTGACTTCTACTCAGGCCCCCAATCCCCCTCCGTTCGCCTAGAGGGGGAACCATTTTAATAGGCCGTCATTTTCTCTAAAACGGAAGCTCTGCTTCAATGTTTTGGTTTGTCTCGTAATGCACACTTTTAATGCTGGGCTATGAATATTTAACATAGAACTTAATTGGTATCCACACAGGACTCTCCWATTCATCAACGCTGATTGCTATCAGGCCACGAACAGCTAAACTTTCACGATGTTATATTAAAAGGCTGTTCCCAGGGGAGATARTACAATGTTGTAAATTACTAATAGGATCGAGTCATGGACTTGCACCGATCTCTAATATTCGGATCATGCCATGTTCTACCCACGTGCTTTACGGATAAACATTTAAACCTGTACACCATTCTTTTCGATCCAGAATGTATTGGACATATTGTCTTCAGCTACTGATCACTAGAGTCAAAACCGATTTAGAAAGATCAAAACATATATGATATGCGGTAATGTCTCKAGTGAGACTGTCTTCCCGACAATTCTTGCGCGGCCTTTTGTGTRCGGAATTACAACTGTTGAACAGTGCTTGATATGAAAGGTAATTATAATAGCATTACATGTATACAGAGTAGAAACGAAATGTTTCTATGGCTACAATTGTAGGATTTGATGGAAGTACGATAGCACAAACATTGAGATCAATAACAACATAACATTTTACCCCGAATTCTGATAATTTCATAAAATTTTGAAATTGTTTTCGGTTACATTTTCAAAAACCTTTTTTCATTTCCTTAGTGCATTTCCGTCCAGAC